TTTGATGTATCTGTTTTTTATGGTCTTTCTCCTCCCTCTGGAAGGTATGCTTCATAAGGGGAAGGATTTTGATTTGTTTTTCTCATTGCTATTATCTTTACTACCTAGGCCAGCACCTGTCACATAGTAATAAATGTTAGTTGAATGAATGAATGAGTCTGCCTATTTCTTCTCCTCTTCTTCTCCCCCTCCTTCCCTCCTTCTTTCCCCCAAGGAAGAGGTGTTCATCCCCCACTAGTAAGCCACTTCTCTCCACCAGACTCTGACCACACCCAGGACCTCATGTAGGATTTCTATATTTCCTCCCTCCATATTCTATAGTTTCACCCTTTCCTTTCAACTGGCTTCTTCTTTTCAGCATATATACATGTTTCTGTCTCATTTATTTTTAAAACACAAACATCAAAGTGTTTCAAATATTTGCTTCCCTCTAGCTGTCTCTATTCTCCAGGTTGAGCTTCCCGAGGAACTGTGTATACTCCCTGACTTCACATCCTCCTCACCCGGTCACACCTCACAGCATACCCTTTCCAGACCTCATCATTCTCACCTGCTGAGCAGAAGCATTTGCCACCATCCTTAGCTCCTCTTTGAATCTTTCCCTTCCTGTCCATGGCTCTGGGGACTCAGAGAAGGCCTCTCTCCCCATGTTTACGGCGAGAGGCAACACAGCTCTCCCTGTTTTCCAGTCACTTCTCAAACATACAGTCTGCATACAGTCACATTCTCCGTCCTCTTCCCCCCCATCTCAACTCTGTGTGGAGCTGCCCCTGTCCCAAGCTCACCAATGACTTTTCTGTTGAATAAACCACTGGGTACCATCCAGTCCTGGTCTTACCGGCACCAGCTAAAACAGCTAAAACCACCGGCCTACTAGAAATGCACGCTCTTCTGCTGGCTTCTGTGACCCCACTCTCAGGACTCTCGCTTCAGATGTCTGCTCTCTCCATGGGTGATGGCATCCAATTCAGTGGATTTCAAAACCACCAAGGAGTTAGGAACCTTTAATCTCTATTGTCAGTCATGCTTCTCTTTTTCCTTGTAGACTAGGTGCCAGCAGCCTGGGGTGATCACTAGGTGGTCCAATTTTCTGAGGTCTAGAATCCTGTTTGGTCCACAGCATTTCAACCTCACTGGGACATGAGCCCTTTGATCTGCAGTGTATGTCTGGGGCTGGGGTCTTGCTACTTCACTAGACACTTCAGGAATAGCAGGTGTGTTTGCATTGCTGGTATCAGTTATTAGCTAATAACGGTGACGGTGACAATGGCAGGTAAGTTTGGCTGAGCACTGATGCTAAATGCTTTACATGGTCCGTGCAATAAAATTGCCACAAATGCCATGTGAGGTGGAAAGTGTTACGATTCTCATTTTACACATGAGTAACGCAGTCTCAGGGGGCTTTAAGTAACTTGCTCATAGCCATTTAGCTAGTAGCTAGTGGAGGATCTGAAATTCAAACCCTGCCCTGTCTTCAGTGGAGCACAGAGGCAGGCACTACCCATTGCTGCCTCTGCCTTTAGTGTCCATCTCTCTGCTCTGAAACCTGACTGTCCCCTACTTGCCCCTTTATCCATGTCAGACCTGGCTTAGTCCCACAGACAGTTCTTTCTCCAGCTTGCCTCCCCTGGTGTTTCTGGCGTCTCAGTCCTGCTGCAAGCCCAGGTACCTAAGCTAAGAGTCTTGCAAGACTTGGCATGTTTCCCTTGACCCAATAAGAAAAGCATGTTGTACACACACTGCAGTTTGTGCCTAGCTGGGGCAGGAACACACACAATTTATGACAAGCAGTTCTGATATTATCCCTAAACCACACAGAAAGCAGGACACATGGCGGTTTGATGTAGGTTATAAAATTTGATCATTCACAACTGACAAGGGGGTTGCTTACTGCTATTCTCATCAGTGGGTAGTTTGGTTTAGTTATGAAAATACAGCTGCTCTAACATTTTGTTTATATCCAGCTTGAATATCAAGTTGAAGAGAAGCATATCTGAAGTACAAACAGCTACAGAGAGGGAAGTTACCTAATGGAACCTTGGAAAGTGAAATGCAAAATGCAAGGAACGTGGCTGTAACTGAGAGCTCTTCCTCCTCCTCCTGCCTTCCATATTTCTGTTCTGCCACCCTGGTCACCTGGGAAGACCCTGTGAGCCCTCTCCGGCAGCCCTGCCTTCTCTGCCTCCTCCCCCACTCCTCTGTCAATTCCACATCCCCGATGTTGATGTTGCTCCCTCCTGTGGCTCCCCTTCTAGCCATCCCTGTGGCTCTCCTCCTGTTCAGATCCACACTCCTTTCATGGGAGAAAATAGGCTCCAGCTCCCTTCCTACAAACGTTTCTGCCCGCCCCCAGCAGCAAGATCTTCTCGAAGCACTGTTCTGACATGCCACGTCCCTCATTGCCCACAGGATAAAGTGCAGTCTCTTGGTTCACATTCAAGATTCAGCACTAGCCTGTCCAGTCTCCCACCCAGCTTCAAATCCAACGCTCTCTCTTTACACGAGTGCCTCTGGCAAACTCTTCCTTGTTCTCTGTCAAGCAGTACACATTTCTGGTTTCAACGCCCTGGCAGGCTTTCAGCCGGGACTGCTCAGCTGTGTACCTCTGCCACTTGTAAGCTCCTTGTCTTGCTGTGAGAGTCTCAGGACCATGCAAACATTTTCCTGGGAAGTCTGGGCCCTCAGGACTTTCTACCTAGTATTAGTAATTTCTAAGACAAGTTCCCACCCCTCTCTTGAAAAACAAATGTGAAGTCCAAGACTGTGTCCTTGCTGTATATTCTCCCCATTACCAAGTCCAGGGCTTTGTGCAGACAAGTGCACGGCAAATACTTCGAGAAATACAACACAATAATATGGAGTAGTTGCCACAAGTCCTCGAAGCTGTCTTATGGATGAGGTCCATAAGGGAGGAGGCAAAGTCTGCTGAATCTCAAACTGGAAGAGGAAGTTACCTGGGATTCTCTGGGGAGGAAGCTGTAACCACTTGCTTCTTTGAGGTGCCTGGGATTCAGTCCCTCTTTGAGCAACTGTAACTAATGCCTACTGGTCATCTGGCCCAGGGGAATACAGGCAAATCAGACAAACCTTAAGCTCCAATGTCAGTGGAGGAAGAGACATGTATATGAGACACTTCAAATCCATGTCTGGCTACAAGAAGTATAGACTTGTGCTTCTCTGCAGCAGTATGGTGCTGGACTGAATGGCAGGCGGATGGACCAGCAGCTCTCTCTTCCTCATGGGATCAGGAAGGCTCTGTGTTGGCCTGTTTCCTGCTTTGCAGCATGTCTCCCTAGGGCAAGACCAGCTACGTAATCTGCAGGGTCCAGGGAAAAAGGAAAATTCAGGGCCACTTGTTGAAAAATTATTAAGAATTTCAAGAGGATGACAGCAAAACCTTACAATATGGAGACCGTGTGTGTGTGTGTGTGTGTGTGTGTGTGGTGGGGGTACTGTGCAATTGCATAGGTCACATGCCCATGATGCTGGTCCTGATAGTGCCAGGGAGGTCTGAGTGTGTCTTGCAGTCTTTTCTTCCCTCTTGCACCAGAGTACAAAGGAAGTTCCAGGTTTCAGCAGGCTCAGTGGTACTAGAACAGCTGCACACAGGCCAGTGACAAATATGTGTTGAGTGCACACTATATGACTGTGTGTCCACTTCTAAGTTTCAGAGATACAGTGGAGAACCAGACACACACATTTCTGTTTGTCACAGAGCTTATTTCAGTGTATTTCAGCTGATTTCACTGTAAACAAGCTCGCAAAGAAATGCTAAAGAAAATCATCTGTCGGTGAACAGTGTTGTGAAGATGACAAAGCAGAGTGTTGTGGCTGGGGGTGGGGTGGTGGAGAGGTGCTGTCCTGCAAGCTGGGGTGCTGAGGCCCTTTCTAGAGCAACAGGTAAGGATGCTGGAATATTTAGTATCAGCTTGTTATGCAACCCTCTGCAATTCCTTACCTTTGCAAGTGAAGCCAGAAGGTCCAGGCGAGGAAGATGAAGCCCAAGTATGTCTGAGACTCTTGACTTGTCCATGCCCTACCCGCCCCCAAGAATAAGGCATTGCCCCTCACCCCTCCGTGCCTTCTAACTTCTTGTGCTATCACCCAGAGCCAAGTCTCCAGGAAGATTTGGCCACTCCGTCTCAGAGAGGCGGCTTCCAAGGCCTCCTCGATTCCAGTTGGCCTCTCTCACATCCAGTGCCCCCACGCTGAAACAGTCACGTTGAGGCAGCGCCTGGGTGGGTGGGGGACTCAGAGAAGGTGCTGCAGTGAATGCCTTTGACTGGTCCTCTGTTGCCGGGTGCTCCCCTGCCCCCCAGTACCGAGGAAACTGGCCTATGGGGTAGCTCAGATCAGAGCTTCCTGGAGAGACCCCCAAGCCTCTCTTCTTCTGCGTGCCAAGGAAGGTGCTGCATTATCCAGCTTCCTTCGCACGCGAAGAGATACGCTCTGAAGGCCTGGGGGGTGCAGAGTGAAGGTGTGGAAAACGTGAGAGGTGGCTAGGGGAGGCCAGAAGTGGGGGAGTGACGAGGTGCAACAGGTGGTGGGGAGGAAGCCAAGACTGGAGAGCACAGTTGGTGCTCTGGTGGGCTGGAGGAAGTGGGGGTTGCAGCGGAGGCAAAAGCCCACTCAGTCCGCGTCTTGGGCCGGCAGGGCTCAGCCTGAGGCCGCCCTCCCAACCACAGCCGCGGGCCTCTGGTTCCCCCGCCCGAGCACGCCGGCTCGCCTCCGTCCTTCTCCCCAGCAGCCCCCCCCCCCCAGCTGTCTGGCAGCGCCGCAGTGGTGGCGGCGGAGGCGGGGGGCCTTGACGACCGGGCTCCGTCCCCTCCCCCGCTCTCGCCGCAGCGCCATCACGTCGTCGTCGGAGATTTCCATCGGGGCTGGGGGCGGGCCCGGGGGGAGCGCGGGGCGGGGCGAGTGGGAGGAGTGAAAGTTGCGCCCAACAAAACCCTCGGCGCCTGCCGAGCGCCAGACAGTGTGTGCGGCCTCCGCACAGGTGGTCGCGCCGCTCTCCCCAGAAATGTTGTCTAAAGTTGGCGTGCCCCTCCTGGCTGTGCTCCTGGTCTTCCAGTCGAGGTAAGTCTCCCTCCCGGGATCCGGGAGCCCTCCGCGCCCAGCTCCCTCCGCCCGGGAGCAAGGCCGGCTCCCAGGACCCCCGCATCCCGCGTTCCTCGAGCCCCGCGCCCGCCTTGCCCCAGGGCCTCGCGCAGGCTAGCCGGGTCCCGCGTCCCTCGACGCGCGGCCAGCCTCCGTCCCACTCTCTCTAGGACGGATGCCCCAGGCCCCTAGGACGGGAGTCCCAAAAGGAAGGCGGGATGCCTGTCCCCTCGCCACTCGCACCCCGGACTGCCGCTCTCCAAAGCACTGCGGCGGCCGGGCGAGCCACCCCCCTCTCAAGGAGTCTTTTGCAGGGAGAGGGGAGCGGCTGGGCAACCTCGCACTGCTGGGGACCTGGGGACTTTGGGAAGGTGGAGCGCGGGCCGGGGAGCTTAACTGTGCCGAAAATGTTTGTGTGTTGCCTCTGTTTTGCTCACATTTTTTTTTAGAGTGACTACTGAGTACCAGGCACTGTGCCAGGCAACTCTGACTTTACTTGCTTCCCGTACCGCCGCTCCTCTTGGTGCCAGTCCCAGGCGCGTGCTTTGGTTTAGTCTAAGGGTCCCACTCTTGCTGTACCCTGCTCCCAGCCACCGCCAGCCCCTCTTCCTCCCTCATCTCTGGACACCCTGCTTCGTCTTGGGCTGTGAGCCAGGGGCCAGGAATGTTATTCTCTGTGGTCTGCGGTTTGGGTTGGGGTCGTAGATTTCAATCCTCCCTTCCCTTTTCAGGTTTCCCTTGGACAGCCAGTTTCCCTTACACCCTCTCCTGGTCTTGGGCCTTTGCTAGAAAGGTTGTCCTTGTATTTGTGGTTTTTTAGGGTGGAAAAGGACTGCTTCATTTTTTTTTTTTTTTGAGACGGTTCCTGCTGCATGTGAACTGTCACAAGTTCCTAAGCTTCCTGATCTGTCGAGCTTTCTCGAAGTCTCCATGACGCTGGGCTTTGTGTCTTGTTTATGGTTTTGGAAAGAGGGGGGATGGCTTCTTTCCCCACCCCAGATTGCGTTAGTTCTTTGGGGGAGGGGCTGTGTGGCTCCCTGTTGGCTCACTGGTGCCCTAGGGTGGGGCTGACCTCAGCAGGGGCTTGGTAAATGTCTGAATGCGTGCTAGGAATTTCCAGTCATCCACATCCCTCCAGATGGGATTTGGACTAGTCGAGAAAACTGACATGGTGACTAGCGAGGGGGGGGGGAGAAGGAGGGAGGGGGATCAGAGAAGAAAACAGCAGGGAAGAGGGACGGTGGACATGGAAACTACCCTTCTAGCTGGGAGGGAGGACTGCAGTAACTGATGTTCAGACACTGTCAACATAGCAACCTGTGGTGTCAGGAAGGAGCTGGGGAGGTGACAACTGAGTGTGCTGAGCCACATTGAACCAAGAGGCCTCTCTCTGGTCCAGGCTCAGCCTCTGATCAGTTCAGTGACTTTGGACACAGCCCTTCTTCTATCTGGGCCTCAGTTTCTTCATCTATAAAATGAAAAAGAGAGTTGATGATTTAGGAAAAAATCCAGCACCCCTCCTCATGTTTCCTGCTCCTCTCCTCCACCCTCCCCACCACCCTGCCAACTAGCTGGTGGGGAGGGGTAGTGCAGAAATTCAGTGTCATCCTGGACCTGAAAGCTGAAGGGACGTGGGTGCCTGAAAAGCCCCTATGAAAAATCCCACTAGTCGAATATATGAGTGTTTTTCAAATTTTTTTCTTTCTAGCCCTGAAAGCGATCTTAATGGCTGGCTGGGGAAAGGTATGCATTGTCAGCAGCTCCTTAACCTCAGGGATCCCAGGATGAGGTTTTTTGTTTGTTTGTTTGGTTGGTTGGTTGGTTTTATTTGTGTATTTAACTGACATGAACTAGTTTTAGGATTAAAGCCACCTCCAGATCCTCTGATAACATTTTCATTGCAGATTTAGTCTAGGGGCAGGAGGGCTTTGGTGGTCCCAGTGCTTTCAGGTTTGTTTGTCTCTGCTTTTAACCCTGGGGGTGATTATTGTTGTTAAAGGGTTCAGACATCTGGGAGGGGCTGCTATAGGCTTTTGGGTGGTCCTGACTGGCAATGACCAGCCTCCTACTGACTGCCAGTTCAGATTGTACCGTATTCTCAGCCACGTCACTCATTTTGCAGGGTCTCAGGCCTCTGTTTCCCTTCCTCCCTCCTAGAGTCTCTGGCCCTTTTTAGAGGGCTGGGAGATTAGCCTCTAAGTATCCAGGGGACATGAAAAGCCTCAAGGAAAGAGGACATCTTCTGAATATGACATTTGAAAGTGGAAACTGCTTTGCTGAAGCCCAGTTCTTCCCTAGCCCACAATGGGAATTAGGCACTTCAGACATGAGAAATGGCATAGACTCGGTGCATCTGTATGCCAGTTAAGCAATTCTAAGAGCTTGAAATACTGCAGACAAATTGCATTTTACTGCCCAAGTTGGCAGCCCCTTGGTCTGCAGTACAGAGGCCATGCCCACCTCTCCTGCCCTGTTTGCCCTTTATTTTTGGAAGTGAATTGCCTAATGCCTTTAAAATATCATTTTGGAAGTGCCACATACATGCAAAAGTGCAAAAGTCATAAGTGAATAGCTCAGTGGATCTTCACAAGTAAACATGCGCATGGAACCAGCACCTAGATTGAGAAACACCGTGTCATCAGGCACCCCCCATACTGCATGCGCGCGTGCGCGCGCACACACACACACACACACACACACACACGCCTCCTTAAATGAAGCCACTCTTCTGGCTTCCAAAATCACAGATTAATTTGAGCTGATGGCTTTTTAAGAAGCTTTTAATTATAATTTTTTGAAGATATATAAAAATAAATAGTATAGTAAGCCTCTACATACCCATTACCAGCATCAATATTTATGAGCTCCTGGTCACTCTTAGTGTCCCACTTAGATGGTTTCAAGTATATTTCAGACATCATCTCATTTCATATGTAATTATTTCATTACATATTTCTAGTCATTACAGTCTTCAAAAGCATAAGAAAATATCATTATTACAACAAAAATTTAAGACTGCCCTATTGTGTCAGAAATGTCTTTTTCTGTTTTCTTTAACAGTTTATACTTCTTTGCCAATCCATATGATATATGATACTTATTTATTTAACTCATTCTTGCTTTTAGGACTCCTGTAAAATGCTGAGTAACAGTGTCAAGTGTTTACATCTTTAACATGTTACAGATTTTAGGTTGAAAGAGTCCATATTTTGCCCATTTTGATGCTAGTCTGTTTTTTTTTAAATTTTATTCTCTTTAATTATTATGGATACATAATAGTTATATATATTTAAGGGGTACATGTGATGTTTTGATACAAGCATAAAATGTGTAATGATCAAATCAGGTTAATTGGGATACCTGTCATCTCAAACATTTATCATTTCTTTGTGTTAACAGCATTACAATTCCATTCTTCTTATTCTGGCATATGTAATAAACTCCTGCTAACTCCATATTGTGCTACTGAATACTAGACCTTATTCTTTTTTATTTAGCTATGTTTTTGTTCCATGATGCTTAACAATGGCTGGGAAGGGTAGTGGGGAAGTGGGGATTAATTAAAAGGGGTAGGTTAATAGCTTGTATTTTAAAATCAGGATCTAAATAAGAACCAGATATTAGCAGATGGGACATTTTTATTTTATAAAATACCTTTCATTGAATTGGAACATATGTACAGAAAAGTGCTCAAATCATAATGGTACAGCTGATGAGTTGCCAGTAAATGACCATGGTAGTATAAAGAAAGTCAAATCAAGGACTAAATCATGAGCAGTATCCTGACTGCTAACACCATAGGTGAGTTTCATACAGTGGCAGCTGACTCCTAAAATATTCACTTAATTTAATTACTCTTATTATTTTATTATTATTCATGGCTGTGGCTCTCAGGGTGCATTCCTCAATGTTCTTTAGCCTACTTTCCTGCACTCCCCACACCAATGCAATGAGCATTACAAAACCAACAAAACTGCAACATATCCCTGCGATTTTCTGGGAGCAGCCCACTCTGGCATTTTCAAGCATTGGAACTCGGCCTGCCCATTACTCCCAGGTGGTGCTGGGTCTGGCTGACTAGAGGCCAAGGCCAGTAAGAGTGGCTAATGGGCCAGTGCTCACACACAGTGATTTCTTACTTCATTTTATGTTGAAAATCCTTTTAAAATCTAGGTCTCAGTTTTGTTGTTGATTTTTGTTTAAATAAAGAGTTATTACAAAAGAAAAATAGCATAGATATTCCCAGCAAAGCAGCAAGATTTAAAAGAAATTAATGAGTATAATCTGTTACTGTCTCGTAATTTGCTGTTACGCAGTCCCAGCCGCTATTTAAGTAAGCTTTGTGTTGCAAACTTCTTTTGATTTCCTTCTGTCCCAAGAGGCACCCGCTGAGGCCCCTACAGAGTGGAGTGCAGAGCATCAATTTTCCTTTGTATGTTCCAGGGTTGAGGGACCTCAGATTCCATCAGATATTGAAGCCTCTGGCCACGAGGATGTGGTCTATGGCCCTGAGCCACAGCCTCGTGAAAGTGAGCTCCTTGCTGTAGAAACAACACCCACCCCTGAGACTGGGCGCAAAGTTGGCAAACTGCCTGAAGCTTCTCGCATCTTGAACACTATCCTGAGTAACTATGACCACAAACTGCGCCCTGGCATTGGGGGTGAGTAGCAGAATAAAGTTTTTCCCCTGATGGAGGGTGGGGAGGTTGCAAATGGGTCTGGGGAGTAGGTGAGGGTGCCATGCACCTGGACAGCAGCATCCATCTGCTGCTGGCCAGTCAGGTAAGAGACATTGACTCTAGTTTCAGCAATGCCATTGATCTTGGTCAAGACTTTTCCCTTCTCTCATCCTCAGTACTTCCAACTACAAACTGAGATGACAGGACTAGACAGTTGATCTTCTGGGTGTATGTCCGACTCTTACTGGTCTGTTAGTTGGATCTTGCCATGAAGGAACAAATAAAGAAGAAGGACTGGAAACTGAAACTGTGTGGTCCGACCCTTACTGGTCTCCCCCTGTTTCCCCTCGGACTATTCCTTCCCTGCCCATGCCCATTTTTGATACTTACCCTCTGCTGCTTCCGCTTCCTTTACAGAGAAGCCCACTGTGGTCACCGCTGAGATCTCCGTCAACAGCCTTGGTCCTCTGTCCATCATGGACATGGTGAGTACTAAGCTTTGATTACAGCATATTGGCCCAGGCCCTGGCTAATGGGCCCTTCCACATACTTGTACTTTCTGCTCTGTGTTTTAGTAATGACTCTTAAGAGTTTTGTTTGGTCCTTTTTTTTTTTTTCTGGAGAGAGGGATAGATTGTAATTACCACTGACTTACTTGAGAATGAGGGTGAAAAAGGTAAGTCCCTTGCTGCCTGAAGAGGATCTTCAGAATTGTGACTATATCTTGCAGCCTTTCATTCAAAAAAAAATAATAAAGCAACTTTAAACACCACAATGGAATGACTCTTTTCTTCTGGTAATTATTTGTATGGTCTTAAGTCTACAGGTACCAGCTCTTGCTCTAAGACTGTTTCTCAAATTTTGCCCTAGTTTCTTCTCTGCTTTTCTACTGGTATCATCCTAGTGTCAGTGCTGTCTCCATTTAGTCTTCACAGTCTCCCACCTTGAATATGCAGAGGTCTCTGCCTACCCCCATCGACCTACTAAGCTGCCTCCCCAGTAATGCACCTCCTGTGGGCCTGCCCCTGTCTCCCCATACTGCATGCAATTCACCCCCACACTCTAGTACTTAAGGCCCTCCATGGTTGTATTCTTTTTGAGCCTTTTAGAGTATAGGTCTTCTCAGACACTTTGTCCTCTGACCATTCATTGCTCCACTTTCCTACTTGTCAGCTGCATTGTCCTTCAGGGTCTGTCTCTAATGACATCACATTTATGGCATCTTCCCCAACCTCCACAACTGTTAGCTGCTCCCTTCTTTTTCTCTCTTTGCCTGTTCTTCCCTACCTCATTTCACTGTAATTATCTGTTCTATGTCTGCCTTGCTCTCTCCACTATGGGTTCTTTGATGTCCAGGACTCACTATGTGTTAGCTGAGCAAATGAATGATTAAAAATGCTCTGCGAAAGTTTCTTGTGTCTGCAGAGCCTGAAAATGAGGAAGATTGTTTTGGCCAACTGCATCACAGTCACACACTTGGTTTGGCCCAGGGCAGACACACTTTTAGGCTACACCTTGGTATTTAACAAGCACCATGTAATTGAGTGAGTTTAGAGCCTTGGGTCTGAGATGGGCTTTGCAAATAGATGCTCAAAGGTAAGTAGACCTTTATGGAAGACCAAGGCGTTTACATAGGCTGAGTGGAAGAGTGAGGTTTCCCGTCTTTGTTGGACTACAGAGTCCTTAAGGTTTAGTGTACTTATGCATTGCTATGTAAAAGATTATCTACAAAACATAGTGTCTTCAAAACAATAAAGAATTATTATCTCACAGCTTGCATGGGTCAAGAAGCCAGACGTGGCTTAGTTGGATTCAGGGTCTTTCATAGAGTAGGAATTGAGGTGTCAGTTGAGAATGGGGTCTCATTTGAAGGCTCAACTGAGGGAGGATCTACTTCTAAATCAATCACATGATTGGCAAGAATTGTTTTCTCTCTGGCTATGATCTAGAGGCCTCCCTCAGTCCTTGCCAAGGGCACCTCTCCATAGGGTAACTCAACAGTGTGGCAGCCGGCTTCTCTCAGATTGAGCAAGAATGTGAGAGAAGGTGCTTGAGGTGGAAGCCACATACATTTTGTAATCTAATTTTAAGAGTGACATCCCACTGCTTCTATGGAATTAACCTTTATTAGAAGTGAGTCCAGCCCACAGGTAGAAGGGAATGCAGAAGGGACAAACAGCAGGAGTTGTAGATCGCTGGGGCCATCTCAGAGTCTGCCTCCTGTACATGGCAGTGAAGTTCTCCAGTTAGAGCAGGTGAACGCCTGCAACTCCTAGAATGGCCTGCTGGGAACTAATAAGGAGGATGGAACCATGAGGGCAGACAGATAACTTAGAGTTTCTGTCTATGTTTTAAAATTGGGGTGCTTTTTTGGCCTTTTTCCTTGATGTCAGATTTGCTTTTTGCTGCTATCAATGTGCTTACCCTAGTAAGAATATAGTCTCCTTTTTGCCGTGTAAATTGCCTTTTTAAAGTGAGTGTTGGTTTAGCAATCAGTTTTGTTAAAATTGTTTATAAAAGTAAGAAACAGTAGGTTCTACGTGAAAGCTAAAGGTTGGGGTCTTGTGGTCCCACCATTGTAGTTATTATTTTCTCTTAAGAGAAAATGGACCTTTCAGGTCGTTGATGGGGGGTGGGGAAGGGGGCTTAGGACTGTTTTCTACTGGGCAGAGAATGTCCGGCAGCAGTCTCTGCTGCTCCCTGTCAGTGTTCCCACAGTTGAACATAGCACTCAGTCCACAGTGACCTGGCTCCCAGAACCTTGCACACTTGTTTTTTTCCTCCTTTGGATGGACTTTAAGACACTGCCAACCAGGTTGGGAAGTAGCAAGTCTAAATTCCAGCAAGCGCCTTCCTTCCTAACCTGTTACCCGCCACGCAATTGACAGTGGTTAAATTTCCTTAGGCTGAGTGGGGACAATACACACATTGACAAATGGAGCAAATAGCTCAAAGTTACTTTGCTGTTTTCTAGATGAGACAGCATGCTGTAAAACTAAAGAGTAGTGGGAAATTTGTGACTACAATCTCCTTGCTATTTCATAAGGTATAATTTGGGGAAACCAATCTCTGTCATTTGCAAGAGGCCTTGTGGTAGCAGGCAGGCTACTGCTCCTAGCAGCTAAATGGCTGCTCTCCTCATGCCATACCTGTCGTGCTGCCAGCATTGGCCTCGCCTAACAAGCTGAGGATACAGTCTCATAACCCAGCAGTCACCAGACCTACATGAAACACAGAACTGGTTCAGAAAAGAGCCAATAACTTTATGTTTTTTGGCCACTAAGGTAGTGCTTTAGCCTGGGCCAAGTGCCTTTTGAAAATCCCAAACCCTCACATGTGGTATGAAATTTCCCTGAGAAGTCTCAGCATCTGCATGGTTCCAAGTAGTTATTGGAAGCTGTAGGAGGTCCCTGTTCTCTGGCACTTGGTGGGGAGAAGGCAAGACTTCAGACCATACTTGTCCCCTTGGATTCTTGTGAAAGCTAGGTGGCTGCCATTTGAATCTCCATTTTATGTTTGAGGCAACTGAGCCTCTAGCAAGGGTGTGTCCCAGTATTGGTCACATAGTCAGGCGTTTCAGAGCCCTTCAGTCAATGAGATATATACAGCATAGCCCTTGAGCCCATGGCATGGGGATTTGAAGCAGACACTGCTGTAGATCTCCTGGCTGCACTTTGGAGCACCTAGTCCGAGCTTCAGAGGTGATGGACAGCCTGGGAATGACTGCCTGGCGCAGCATCAATAGTGGCTAACACTGTTTCTAACTGCGGTAATTGTCATAGGCGATTCTAATTAAGCTGATTCCTAAACTGAATTTCTAGAGATTTGAATGAGCTAAAAGATGTACATCCCAAAATCCTTTGTCAAAGGAAAAATTGAACGGGGAAAATTGAACCATTAGTTATCAGTTGATGTGTAGTGAACTCACCATCGGTATCTTGTCAGATAGAAATTAAATGCTCATTTGAAACACTTTATAGCATAGAGCATGGTCACAGCGTGGGTGTGGAGAGGAGGGCTTCCCACTGGCTGCCAGCCTGGGAATGAGAGAGGCTCTACTGGCCGCTTGGAAACATTTTGAAGGCCATTTGTGAACGCAGGTGGAGCGAGGCAGAGTGGGGTCAGAGGCTCCCTGTAAATGGTAGCCAGGCTCTGCCAGCGTTTTTCTGTATGCTTCTTGGGCCCGTTCCCAGACACATTCTCAGTATTTCCTTCCCTGGCTGGCTGGCAGCGATTTGGTAGCTACTTCCACCACCTTTTGTCCTGGACAGCTAAGGCAAGCAGGGGTTTTCTTGATCTCTTCCCTGAGGGCTCTACTGGCCTCCAGGATTGTGGGTTTCTAGATGGTATCATTGCTTGAGATAGGATAACTCATAGTAAAGACCTAGCCTAAGGATTCTGCAGAGAAAATTGGTATCCAAAGGGATTGTTGGTGCAAGTGAAGGCCATCCCAAAGCCATGGTCATGCTGAACAGCACAGCCAGGATGCTACTATTGACTGTTTTTCTGATTATGGACAGCCCCCTTTCTGTGAGCCTCAGTTTCCCAACCTCTAAAATAAGGGAGGTTGAGCCAACCCTCACAGTTTTGTCCGGGCCTACTTCTGGTACTTGCTGTTCAAGCTGCTTGCAATTCTCTTGCAGTCTGTTTTCTTTTCCTGTCAATGCAGTGGTGCAAATTTCTAGCTTTATCCTGTGAAATAGCATTCTTGATGCTTAACAGTTTATGAAATACACGGTATCTGGAGACCAAATAACCATGGGATATCTATGCACATGCACACATACATTCAGCGGTTATGGGCACTTGTTTGAAAGGAAAAACAAAACAAAGCCAATTAATGATTCTCCTTGTTTAAAAAACATGAAACTCAATAGACATTTCTCTTGTGACTCAAAACACTTCATATGTAGTTCTGGAGAATGAAGGATTGAGATTAATTAATATGTAGGATCCCCAAATATAAGCAAAAATATGTGTGCTTATAGATTTTTAAGATGATTTTGAGCTAGGGTGTTCAATTTACTTTGGAAATGTGGAGGCTGGAGGGTGTCGACTTGGCTAGAGTAGCACAGTAACCGGCACAGAACAATGAAGTGGTGAGCCTAGCCCATGAAATGAAGCCACCACTGACTAATTCTAGATTAAATGTGTTCTGCCAGACTGTTATCTATTTGGGAAGGCTGCTTTCTTTTGGGAATACCTGGATGTAGAAAAATCCTATAGCCACGCTCATGCTGTTTTCCTCTGTACAAACCTGACTGGATTCCAAAGGGTGTATTCACTTGATAGTCCCATCACAGATTGGCACGCAGGGTCTTAGCCCACTGGAAGAAGGGTCTCAGTGCCAAGTCTGGACATAACGGCAGTATTTACAAGTTATTTCAAGTTCCTCATTTAACAAAGACAATGACAAGTAAACATGCAAGTTTATCCAAACGTGTGCTTTTCTATCCTTCATACTAGGAGTACACCATCGACATCATCTTCTACCAGACCTGGTATGATGAACGCCTCCGTTACAATGATACCTTTGAGACCCTCGTTCTGAATGGCAATATGGTGAGCCAGCTGTGGATCCCAGACACCTTCTTTCGGAATTCTAAGAGGACCCAAGAGCATGAGATCACCATGCCCAACCAGATGGTTCGCATCCATAAGGATGGCAAGGTGTTGTATACAATTAGGTATGTCACACCTCTGGTGTCTCATGTCCTGACACTCTCTCTCCCCTTCTGAGATCTCAGCCAGACTCATGGGCACAGATAGCATCCAAATGATACTTCTCAGGGCCTTTCCAGCTTTCCTAGACCATAACCTCAAATGCGTCATGTGAACATACAGACCTTAAGGCCTCAAAAAAAATTTTTCTTAACCATAAATATGTGTATGTGCATTACTTAAAACTATACACTAAGTTTGTGGCAGAGCTGGGACTGGTACCCAGTTACTTGGCTCCCAGTCCAGGAATCCCCCAACTAGGATGTGCCAGTATGACTGCACTGCCTGGACAGTTCCACCCAAAGTGGGTACTGGATGTAAAGACACATCCGCAGTGTTGGTGGTGGAATTGTCCAGACAGAGCAGCAACATAATGGTTGGAAATGTACCTAAGACCAGGCTAGATACTTTGAATGCCTGGCAGGGAAAGCCATGTGTTGGTGGTGATGTGGGGACAGGTGGAAAGTGAAAGAGTGTTGGCAGGTTCTGGACGTTGAGGTGGGCAGGAAACAAAAGCCGATCTAAGTTGGTCCATGTACTTCTCTGGTGATAGAGCCCAGAGTAGCCAGATATTTACAAGCTATTTTTCCTCTCTTTTTTTTTCTCTCCTTTGAGCTTTGGTCTTAAATCTGTTGTTGCCATTCACTGGGAGTGGTCCCCAGGCCAAAATTGGGTGAATGCCTAAGTGCTTGGGGCCAGCTTAATGAGGTTCCTTTCTCCCTTCCAGGATGACCATTGATGCTGGATGCTCCCTCCACATGCTCAAATTTCCAATGGACTCTCACTCTTGCCCTCTGTCTTTCTCTAGCTGTGAGTACCTTCCTAGGTTTCTGGGGTACCAGCAGCATGCTCGGGCCCTTCTTTTTCTCATCCTTACCCTTTACATTTTTCTGCCTCCACTTTTCTCCTAAGATGCTGCCAAGGTTGGGCAGGGCTTCCATCCTCCGCCTTCATCTCATTTCTTGCCAACAGTACTGTGCTGCTCATCCTGGGCCTCATGCTGGCTTCCTGCCGCTCCCTTCCACCACCTCAAGTGAGTCACTCATCTCTTCCATGTGTGCATCTCAAACCTGTCCGCTCCTTTTCATCTCCACTGGCACTACCTTGCTTTAGGCCTTTGTCATCTTCCATTTGGACTTTTGCAACATCTTTGCTTTGAAACTGAACATATCTAAACTACATTCATTGTCTCCCCTAAGAGTTCAACCCCCAAAACAAATGTGTTGTTTCTGTGTTCTCACGTGTCTTATTAAAGGGTATCATCACTCATCCAGTTGTCCAGGCCAAGAACTTGGATGCTTCCCTCTCCCTCACCTCCTACATCTCATCAGTCAACATATCCTGTTGGTGTTTCCTCTCAAATCTCTATTGATGTCTATTTCTCTGCATTCTGACTGTGACAGCTTTGGCTCCTGCCTTTATTCATTTTATTATACTGGATTACTGCACTGGCCTTCTTGCCAACATGCTGTCCTCACAGAAGGACCATAATGACCCAGCTAAAGCATCATCTAGACCAGGTCACTTCCTAGTTTCAAATCCTTCCTTAATGCCCATGGGTCAATTCTAAATTCCTTAGAATGACCCTTGAGGCCATTCATGAACTGATCCCTGCCCCTACTCCTGCCTCACTGAAGTTTGGCATTTCACCTTTCTGTGCTACCTTCACCCCTAATCCAGCCTCATCCATATGGAGAATATTTACTTGACTTTCAAGACTTAATGGGAGCATCATCTGCTTTATGAAGACTTTTCTGAGTGTGTCCCCAAGTGATCTTTCCATACTTTATTTCCTCACTGTTCCATAGGCAGATGTTTTTCAGAGCAACTCCAGAAGTTACAGTTGTTTACTCACTGTTGTACTCAATGAAGTGTGAATACTTGAGGGCAGGGTTCATGCCATATCCACCTCTGTATTTCCATCCCAGGGCTCAATACTGAGCAATGCTCAGTAAATGCACTTATTCAATGGACTTCAACAATGCGGTAAGAGAAGTAAGGTCCCATAGCTGGTGAGGCTAAAGTCAGGACTCCAAGGCATTGCTCAGGCTGACTCCATGCTTGTGGAGACCTCAGCTGGGCTTCCCAGTCTCATGTGATCCTCCTTCCCACCTTGCTTTCCAGTTTCCTATCCTGAGACTGAGATGATCTACAAGTGGGATAATTTCAAGCTTGAGATCAATGAGAAGAACTCCTGGAAGCTCTTCCAATTTGATGTTAAGGGAGTGAGCAACAAAACTGAGATTATCTCAACTCCATCTGGTAAGTGTGCCATAGGAGGCAGGGCTAGGCAGAGGCCCCTGTGGATGGTAGGAATGAGTGGAGGTGGCCATCAATACAAATGCTATGCAGTCATTCCATGGAAGTATTGTAGAACATGTCTCCTGCCTTATTAATGCTAAGCACTTACAACTGTTTGCAGAGGAAACTGAGACTTTGTAACTATGTCTCAGTCTCATCTGCAAAGAAGTAAGTGCTTTGCTAAGTCCCCTGGGAGGTTAGGTAAGTAGATAAAGTTTTGTTGCTGTTAGAATGTGCAACTAGCTTTGTCATGCAGACCCTTCAGTTTCAAGGTCTTTGCTACAACACTGAACTAGTTGGATGACTTTCAGAATGGAGCTTGTATGAATTCTCCATACCCAGAACCAATCCAAGCTGGTTGAATGGAAAGCAAAGTCTGTCCAAATGGGAGGTGGAGGCTAGAGTTCTGATGTCATCCAGGTGAAGGCTGGATGGACTAGATGAAGTTATACTGGGGGCATCAACGTCTATCTTGAAGGGACAACTCTAAAAGGCACAGATTCTGGTCAAGGGCTTCATGGTGGATTCGGTATAGCTTTGATGAGCATTGGTTTTTTGACCGTGTCTTTAACAAGGATGAAAAGGGAGGGTCCTGGGTCTCTTAAACTTCATCTCCCAATAAGATGTGAGCATCTCTGCTTGTGTTCCTAGGTGATCTGAATGAGGAGCCAAGGGATCTCCCTGGGGTAGCTCTCATAGCAGCCCTGGAAATTCTCTTCACATGTACTGACCAAGTTCAGAGCAGTGGAAGCACTGCCCTCATCGTTTCCAGAATGTGGATGGAGCCAGTCACACCCAACCAGCCATTTGCCCTGGCAGGCATCTTGCTTTGTTTCCCTGTGGATAGGCAGAAAATCTACTTTTGCTTCCCTTGTTGAGTAGATCCCTGGGTGAGGGGACAGTTCAAGCTTCTCTGGCTGGTGCTTTGCTTGAATAGTCCCATGCAGGGGCAGAGGGCTTGGCCTGCTTTCAAATGCTTTCCTTTTTCCTGGGAGCTCCGGGTAAGCAGTTTTACTACCTTGACTTGGAGCCTTGCTCTTCTGCCAACTAACCGTGGGCCTACCTCTTGGCTTTCTGTACTGCAGTTTTCCCCAGATAGGTAGGGACCCGTCATCAAAAGTGGCAGAGGAGACAAGGCCCAGGGGCTTTCAAGTCACTAGTGGTTCCGTTTAGTAGATGGCTGTGCATTGTTTCAAAATGGTGCCCTAGTGACTACAAAGCCTCAGAGCCAGTATCATCACCTAAGCAATGACAATAGGTAAGCACCAGACCCGCTGGGGAGACAGGACAGTTCTTGGGGAGAAAAAAAGTGATCTTCTTCCTTTTTCTTCTGCTTAAGACTAGTGGATCTTGAGTCATCATTTCTTCAATGGCTAAGTTATCTTTGGGATTGATCTTGAACTCTTCTAGTCAGCCTCTGGGGCAGTTCTGTCCATCTGGAGCAGACTTATGTACTCAGCTCCTGAGGTTTCAGGATGCAGTGGTAGCTTGCTACTCTGACCATCTTGGCCCTTGAACGACAGAATCTTTGCTCTAGGAGGTTTTAAGAGTCCAATCCTGCCACAAGTGAGGGAATAATCATCCTTCACTAAAGGCTACTACACCTGTCATGGCATCATAGTGGTGATCAAGAGTACACTATCTGGCAAGAGGGTTTCTTTCTTCTCTAGACAGTTAAGTCCATTAGAAAATTCTCCCTACCCATCTAAAATTGGGATCTCTGGAAGTTCCACCCACTGGACTTACTTCATTTCCTGTAGAACTATCCAGCTTACGTTAAGTCCAGTCACTCTCCCATGAGGCCGAGGTTAAAGGGCCAATATGAACATTGCAGCCCTGGATCACATTCTAGTATAGTCTGCAGGACCCTGGCCCTGGTTCCTTTTCCTTCCCTTGTTCTTGAAAGCTTTGGGTCCACTCACCCTGTAGTCCCAGTCCTGTGGACACAGTCTTTTGGATTGTGTCCCTCTGACAGTGCAGCAACTGACCGTGGTCTGGCCAAAGAGTAAAGACAGAAAGAATCTTTAGCCTTTTTGGGGTTTGCTTTGGCTTCTCAAGCCCTATTTTCTTACCCATGCTTCTTCACTCCTCAGGAAGAGGAAAGTGTGGGTTCACATCTTTCTTTTGGCCTTCAAGACGAATTTCCATCCCTTGACAAGCAGAAAAGGTTCTTCTTTGGCCAGAATAAAATTAAAAAAGAAAAATGCAATAGAATTCTGAATCTTCTTACAAGAAGAATATATAAACTCAGCAATTTTATGGGGGTGCATTGGAGGGATAGCTAATTAGAAGTATCTTAAATTATAGTCAAGATGCCAGGGCAAAAGAACTTCTGATAAATACATTCTGGCCAGTAGGCAAGTGTGAGTGGTCCCTGCAGCAGCTCTGGAGAAGTTCAGTCTCAAAGCTACTACTCTGGACACAGGTTTCCTATTGAGCCCAGGCAACTTCCTTGCCTTTTTTCCAGAAGAATCTGAGAAGTCTTGCTCCTTGAATACCAGTGCTGCCAAGGTGAGTAGGAAAGGCTCCTCTTCTCATTCAGCTACAGCCCACTCAAACCTGCTGGGCCGTGATCTACTTTACAAATTAGGAGGACACATGGACAGGTCAGTGGTCTGGTCTGCTTTACAAAGCTGTTGCCCAGCAGTAGCAAGAGTTGCTGAGCACCTGCTGGGTTCAGGCTGTGCTGGGCTGGGATGAGCAGGGGCTAAGCCACAGGTCCACATGAGCCTTGCCTTGAAGGGATTTAAAAGCCCATGCAGTTCAAGGTCAAGGATTTCTGCAGCATCACTGAAGTGGGAATGTGAAATTTAAGTTCATTTAGGAGCCAGGATTGGAGTAATTACAAATTTGATGTGATATTTAAAGTGAAGAGTGATGTTCTAGGCTCAAAGAAAAGCCCAAACAAACCACAGCATCCTGATAGCATGCAGAGCATGTAACTAGTGTCAGAGAAGAAGGCAGCATGAAGGTTTCAAAAGAAGATGCCAACTAGAGATGTGGGTTGTCTTCAGGTCCTGGAGAAGGCTTTGCCGTCTAGGTGAACGTGAAGACCTCGGTCTACCTTGGGGATGTGTATTGTGCTGATACTACATCTAGAGGGCTGATTGAAATTTTCACTTTCAGCTAATTTTTCCCTTTTCCTGAAACACTCAATATGGGTTAAGAGTCATAAACTAAGAACAGGGAATCTGGGAGCAGAGGGGATTAGCAGAGGGTAGGTAAGGGGTGTGTGTGGATATAAGATGTCAGTTGGAGCCAGATTGGGGTGAGCCTTTAGTGTCAGATTTCAGGGTGCAGACTTCAGCTAAAGCTTAGGGGGCAGCTGAATACTTGCTTTTGGCTGTCAGTGAAGTAGTGCTAACTAGGACATGTTCCCAGAATAGGGGTGTGTAGACAGCAGGCCAAAGCTCTCCTTCTCAGCACAGTGCAGGCCTTCCGGGGCCCGTTTCCGGATAGTGCACCTTGTGAGGTCCAGCAGTGCCGGTTCAGGACATCTCGGTGGGCGTGAAGGCCTTGGCCGATCATATGGACATCAGCTCTGTGGGACTGATACTTTGAGAGTTAACTCATTCTCTCACTTGCACCTGCCTGTCTTGCCACCCCGTAAAGACAGACATTAGGTGTGTGGGACTGAGAAGGAAGCTATGAAGATTCCGACCTTAGCTTAGTTTTCAGCAGGTCATGTGTCTTACAGTGAGTGTCCATTCTGGGACTCTGGTCCTATGTGTATTGCCACAAAACAACGTGGCTGTGTCTGAGGGCAGTGGTAGTGAATCCCATGAGCTGAACGACAGGACCCTTAGTGTGTATATCCCGCTTGGGGAAGACCCTCACATCAGTGGTATGAGGAAATGGTGTCGTTCGTGTCTTCCAGGCAACTTCATGGTCATGACCTTTTTCTTCAACGTGAGCAGGCGCTTTGGCTATGTTGCCGTTCAAAACTATGTCCCTTCTTCTGTGACCACGATGCTCTCCTGGGTTTCCTTTTGGATCAAGAAGGAGTCTGCTCCAGCTAGGACCTCCTTAGGTAAGGGGTTGTCAGTGGCATAAACATGGACACATGGCTGTGAGTTTGCTGGTGAGTGCTATGAATTGCCTTCTCCTAGAGCACTTTGAGCAGTGTGATGTATGGTTGGGAGCTGAGTCCACCTCTACTCCTGTGCTCTTGCAGGGATCACCTCTGTTCTCACCATGACCACTCTGGGCACCTTTTCTCGTAAGAATTTCCCACGTGTCTCCTACATCACGGCCTTGGATTTCTACATTGCCATGTGCTTCGTTTTCTGCTTCTGTGCTCTGATGGAGTTTGCTGTGCTCAACTTCCTGACCTACAACCGGACCAAAGCCCATGCTTCTCCGAAACTCCGCCACGTATGACCTGGGTGTGGGATTGGTGGCGAGGCTCTGGAGTGTGAAGGCCAGTGAGGGCACTAGGAGTTTGGTGTGTAGGTGGTCAGCTTGTTGAGTGATGGGGGGTTACCCGGGGTTGTGGGGGAAGTTGAAATCAACTTCCTGATGTGTTGGTAGGAGTTCTGGAGGGGGGCTAAGAAATGATGTGCCAAGTACAGTTTCCAGCAAATCCTGAGGCAGCACTTAGTTTTTGGCTCATCTGCCCTTGACTTTTCCACACTTCTTCCCTTGTCCATTTCAGCCTCGTATCGATAGCCGTGCCCATGTTCGTACTCGTGCGCGTGCCCGTGCCCGTGCTCGTGCCCGTGCCCGCCAGCAGCAGGAAGTTTTTGTGTGCGAGATTGTCACCTCTGAGGGAAGTGATGGAGAAGAGCGCCCGTCTTGCTCAGCTGAGCGGTCCCCTAGCCCAGGTAGCCCTGAGGGCCCCCGCAGCTTCTGTTCCAAGCTGTTTTGCTGTGCGTGGTGCAAGGGTCTTAAGAAGTACTTCTGCATGGTCCCTGATTGTGAGGGCAGCACCTGGCAGCAGGGCCGCCTCCGCATCCACATCTACCGCCTGGATGACTACTCGCGAGTTCTTTTCCCGGTGTCCTTCTTCCTCTTCAATGTGCTCTACTGGCTTGTCTGCCTTAACCTGTAGGTGCCAGCTAGCACCTTGGGGCAGCCTCCCAGTTCCCCAGGAGGTCCCAAGCCCCTTGCCAAGGGAGTTGGGGGAGAGCAGCAGTAGCAGGAGCAAGTAGAGAGTCCTTCCTTCTGCGTTTCCCAGACATGAGCCTGCAGAGTTGTCTTTGCCGGCCCTCTTCCCTACCTGGTCCATTTCCAGATTAGCCTTGGCAGCCCACCGCAAGTAAGATGGCTACCTCTGTAGTCTTCAGGGGCATCCACAATGCTCAGCACTATCGCTCATAGACTCTCAGTGATCGGCTCCTTAAAAGTGTGCCCAAGTACAAGTAGAAATGCTATCCCCCAACAGTACTGACAACCACTGCCTTTTTCCAGATAACCATTGTTGCCTTTGTGGTGCTCCAGGCCCAACTCTGGCCTTAGCCTCAAAGTGCACAGACCAAGTGCTTGCCTGTTCCTGACACCTACCTAAGGTGCTGGGTAGTAGTGTAACAGGGGGAGAGGAACCCCATTCATAAATCAGATTATTATATTATTGGTTTTCTCTCCCTGCCCCCCCCCCTTCCTCTGCAGATAGACAGACACTGGCATTATCCCTTTAGGAGGAGGGGAGCTAGCAAGTGAGCCTATTGGGACAGTATCTCTCCTTCTGCTGCTGTGACACCTCCCTCTCCCCCTCTGCCTCCATCTTTCATCCGCACTGCCAACTCAATGCCCTGCATCCAGTGGGTATCTGTTTTCGTGTGTGATGATAGTAATTCCCCCTTGCTTTATATGCTACCTCCTTCCTCCTCCTTGACCCCTGTGACTTTTTCTGTAACTTCCCCAGTGACTTTCCCAGCCCTGACCCAGGTGCTAGGCCTTGGTGACTTCCTAGGGCCAAGATACTAAGGAAACTGTTTTGGAGCGGGCATTCCCCGCCATTGATTGGTGTCAATCTAAGGCACAGCATGGGAGCTTCCTTGGCCCTTGGACCCATGAGCCAGTCCACTCTTGTCCCCGGGGCACTCTCACAATCACAATCAATCAATTGAATTCCCTTAAATTTGTATGGCACTTTACCTTTGGCTAAGCACTTTGGACAAATTATTTCTATTTGGAGCCTCATTATAGCCCTGTGACATCTTCGGGGCAGGATTCTTATCCCCACTGTGCAGATGGGAACCCCGAGGCACAGATTTCTGTGGGACTGTGAATCTCATTGGAAGCTACCCAGGAGCCCACTGTCGTCTTCTAAAGACCACATGACAGGGCTGGGCAGCTCAGTTCACCATGATTCGATCCTATCACCTCTGCTGGTACCCCAGTGGTGGTGCCCAGAATGCAGCCTCTCTTTAGCACTGGCCTATTCAATTTCTGGGCCTGAGGTGCTCAGACTGCCCCTAAGATCAAATCTCTCCTGGCTCTGGTAACCCAGTGAGATGAATTAGAACACGCCCCATTGCTTATATATGCTGAATGAAATCTGTGTCTGTATTTTATTGGGGGGTGGGTAGGGTGGGGATCCATCTGCTTTTTGTCACCATCATCTGAAAGGGGAACTATACAAATAAATATATCAGCAAAGCATTCAAGGTGTGGCTGGTTTCTCCAGAGTTCAAGTTTGTTTTCATCTCAGGATTTAAATCTTAAATCCATCACTCAGGCCTCTGTCTGTTCTCCTCTCCCATCTGTAACTTCCAGACCTGCCAGTCATAAACCAATTACCCTGCTGTCATTAGTAGAGAACAAAGAAAGGAGACTGGCCTCCTTTCCAAATTCCCTGACTTGCTCCTATGCCTGTTCCCTCCATGTTCCTTTTGCTTTGCCCACCATTTTAGCCCCCACCTTGTCAGAGCTAGAAGGTTGTAAGGAACCACTGGACTCAGAACACTACCCCCCACATGTAAAGATGGAAATGCTGAGGCACAGGAAAACTAAGAGATATTTGTCTCTTGTCTCACAAGTAATCAATAGTGGCATTGGACCAGGCCACAGAAATCCTGATGCTTTTGGCTTGGCCTTCAGCAAGGCTGGAAACCTTGGTTGATCCACATTTCAAAAGAAAAGTCTCTAAAGATGTATTGGGAAGTGTTGGCCCTGGCATCTTATGACACTTCCAACTCCCAAAGAACTCAGAGTAACGAGAACAAAAGAGGAGATAAAAATGGCATCTGAACAGTCAAAGTTTTGCTATAAAGTCCTTAGAATAAAGTTCACTTTCATGTAAGAAACTCACAGAAAAATACAAGTAACAATTTTAGAACAAGGAGCCTAGTTCCTGGCTTTTACTTACATTAAGAAGATGGGGGGGAGGCAGTTTGGCCTCTAAGCAAAGTAGAAATGCTCATTTGTGAGCATTCATTTAAATGGATTTTGAAATATAGAAATAGCACAAAACCCATCCCTTAATCACACTATACTAAAGCTACAAATACATAAAATTACTACCACTGGTAAATTTTAAAACCTTAATTATTAAAAATGAAGAAATTGAGAACACAATTGGGTGTGTAATATCTAAAAAATGAACTAATGAAGAAAACTCTACATATTAAAACCTTTGTCAACATTGCCCTTAGAGAAGAATTCCTAATTTAAGCAGTTCAATTACTAAACATGTTGGAAGAAAACTTAGGCATTGAAAGGTAGAAATTATGAAAAAGAAAAACACACTACACTTTAGAAAAGTTGGGGGAAAGAATAATTTTTAAAACAAGTAGTATATATTTGATCCCATAATTCCATTACTAGGTATCTACCCAGAAGAACAAAAATCATTTTACCACAAAGACATTTACACCAGAATGTTTATTGCAACTCAGTTCACAATTGCCAAGTCATGGAAGCAACCCAGATTCCCATCAACCCATGAATGGATTAACAAACTGTGGCATATGTATACCATGGAGTAGTGTTCAGCCATAAGAGAAGATGGAGACTTTACATCTTTTATGTTTACCTAGGTAGAGTCGAGAAGGAGGGGAAAAGGTATCTAGTGTACTCAATACTAATATGAAACCAATATATAAACAACTAACACACACGAAAGATAAAATACAAATGTAGTCAAGCAAGAAAGAGGTGGGAGGGGGAGGGCGATTGGTGGGCTTCCACCTAATGTGCACAACGTGAACGTGTTCAGCATGTCCCCTGGGTGAAGGGCTCAACTAGAAGTTGAACTTTACCTTAGAAGTGAAAACAATGTAACCTAAACATGTGTTCCCTCATACTCATTTGAAATACTAATAAAAAATACAATAAGCAATATAAAGAGAACCAGTTAAGCATTTGAAAAATAATAAATGAAGCTGGGTTCCTACTTCTGTTCACATGCAAAATAAAGGTGAATCAAAAATTTGAGAATTTTTTAAATGGTAACCATAAAGGTACTAGAAGACAATATCGGTGAATATATTTATATTTCTGAGAGACAAAAGGACCTTCTAAACATGACATAAAACACCAAAAACTGTAAAGGAAAAGGTTGAAAAATGTCACCAAACTAAGAAATAATAAGAATAAAAGCAAAAAATACGCTGTCACAAGTCAGTTTTTCTGGGAAGCAGTTACTGAGACCAAGAAGAGCATATAGGAAATTGATTTGGGAGCACTCTTAGGATCTGCATCCTTGGGTGGACTACAGGGAGCATGGTCCAGAGGAGGAGAAACTAGGCTTCCAGGCATTCACATAAAGGACTCATATGAACACATGGGAGTTCTGGAGTTGGATGGTGCAGAATCTTACAAACAAGGGCAAAGGAGCTGGGCCCTTAGGCCCCATCACTGAATGTGAGCACAGACTTAGAAGGGGTATGAACTCAGGTATATCTGAGAGAGACCCAGCTGAGGGCTTTCAGCCTCCAACATTCTCAGAAGCTGGAGAAACTAGAGCTGTGACCAAGGGGCAGTGGTGGAGAGAAGTCTTAGTAGGGTGGGGACCACAGCATCAGTATAGTTCAGCTCTCACCTTGCTTAGGCCCATTTGCTTCACAAATAAATTCCAGGGGAATTCTCCCATGTTTATGTTAAACTTCTTTTCCTGAGGAAGATTTACAAGAAGATAAATGAAACACTATGCCCCTGTCACCAGAGCTGGTCTGGGGCCTTATTTGATAGTCACCATCTCCCTACTGTACTACTCATCTTAGATGTCCTCACCCTCAGCTATATCTCTGTTGATCTTGGTAGCTTACCTGATGAACTGATTAAAACCTTCATTTTTGAAGGGTCTGAGTCTCTGGACACCTGGCCCATCTCAGATCATGGCTGGTAGACTTGTTTGTTATTTCTAAGGGATTTACCTAAGTAGGTCACCTGAATTCCAAAGTTATTCTTGCCTGTCCCAGTTGTATAGTGGTGGCTTAATCTCCTCCTGATGATTGTGATGGATTACCCTGTCGGGATGGTGACTTGTTTTCTCTTGGCTGGTGCCAAATGTGACTAACCAGCAAGCATCCTTGCCTAAAATTTGATGGGACTCTTGCTTTCCCCTGGTGAAGCCACTTACAATCTGGAAGCCAAGAACTTGAAACCTATAGGACCCAGAATTATGAGAAAGGAAGCACAAATCTCCCAAGTGAGTCATCAGGATTGATGATAGAACAACTTCTACTTCTACTCCTTAGTTCCCAAACCTGTATACTCTACCACATATGGTCATTGGTGTAGGGTACAAAATGCCTCCAGGGGGCTGGTCCCCCATCCTCTCAGATTATCCTCTCAAAACTGACACTTCAACTGTATCTTCACACCATTTCATCACTCTGTGTGGCCAGCAGTTTCTAGGTGGTGTAGTATGTGATAGAATCCTAGGTCAAATGCCCAAAGTTATACTCTTTTGGCTGGAAAGTAGATCTTTAGTTCCAACCCAATGTTGTATGAGATCCAATTTCAGTGCATCAAACAATGTACTCTTAAGTAGTGGTGATGGCTGAAGGTCTCCAGGAAAGGAAAAGCAAACCCATATCTGAACTTTATGTTGATGTGATTAAGACAAATCATCAGCCTATTCAATTTCAAAGAGACTCAATGTAGTTAATTTGCCCATAAGTAGCTTTAATGGCTTCCTTCAAGAATGGTGACACATTGGGTTCTCACCATTGCTTTCTTTTGCAGGCAAAGGAAATAGCTAAATGAGCCTTAGTAAATAGGTAACCATGCTATTGTGCCCACATACAACCTCCAATCCTACCGGATTTGGCAAATAAAACATAAAATTTCCAGTTAAATTTGAATTTCAGATAAATGAAAAATTTTAGCATAACTGTGCTTTGGGTGAGGTCACAATGTCCTGGGGCTACTTCTAGCCCAGGACTAAATATAGCAGGAATGCTAGAGTATGGACACATTTGCCAAATGCAGGATTCCTCCTACAGGCAACTTTTGAACCAGCATTCCCCATAGCCGGATTGAAATTTTGTCACAGGCTTGAACTGACACAGTTGCTGGTATAAATAATACAAGAATGTATACAGTAAGAGGGAGTTCTGAGACTGGATCACTTGCTGCGTAGCTGGCAAGGAACAAACCATCTTGAGTGTTATATGGGGCACAGATAGTATTTGGCACACTGTGACAATCCAAAACCTAAAGATTTCACTGGTGGTTACCTGGAGAAACACCCCAGTGGAAGGAAACCCCATTGCTGTTTCAGGCATTTGAAGGCTGCAGGGAAAACATTGTATATGAAGAGAATGGGGTTACTTGTTCTGATTAAATTGTACTGATGCTCTACGGAGAGATGAGAAACTGAGGATAGTCAGCAACAGTTAAAGTGTAAGTATGAGAGTCAGAGAATTTTTGTGAAAGTTTGTAAAGAGGGCTTTATCTCCCACAGGCATAGATGAAGATCAAATGCAGAACTTAAGAGTTAGACTTATAAATCTCCAGGGATGACTAAATGTATAACCAAGGTATGTCTATTAGACTAAAGTGAAGGAAGGCCCTTTAGGGGAAAATCCGGAACTCCGAAACACATAATGGGATCATCTGGATATGTGCCATCAAAGATTGAGGCATTGTAGACATTCTTGGCCCTCAAAGCCTGATGAACTGGTCCACTGCTCCCTATTAAGAGTTAGCACTTTTTAGCCCGGTGTTGTGGTGGCTGCCTACAGTCCCAGATACTTCGGATGCTGAGGCAAGAGAATCGCTTAAGCCCAAGAGTTTGAGGTTGCTGTGAGCTGTGATGCCATAGCACTCCACCAAGGGCAACGTAGTGAGACTCTGTCTCAAAAACAAAACAAAAAAGTTAGCACTTTTGCAGTACTAAGTGAACTTAGACCTTTTGGGAACCTTTCTGTAGGACATAAGCACCCCTTGCTCAGACATGGCAGTTCGCTTCAATGTGCTCCCCCAGGAGATTGATTCTGAGAAACATTGAAGATGAGCTTCTGTACCTGCCTATAGATATGCAGAAATATGCAGAAAGGTCTCTCTAAAAGAAATTGTGGAGAATCAGCCGGGGTCGCAGCTGGGGGTGAACAAACTGGTCTTCGAGCATTGGGTTCTATTCTCTGCCTTCTTCCTTCATTAACATCATAATCCCTAGTTTTGATTTGGGCTAGCAAGGACAGACAGCCAGTCTC